TAGACAAAGTTTACAGTATAAGATATGAAGTTTTGGTTTCATGTTTTGTGGGAAAGATAATAATGGAGAGGATGAATATCATCTTCCACTCGCTCTCGTCTGAGGCCGACACGGATTCTGGTTGTGGTCTCTATTTATCTCTCAACCTACATAATTCATAATTCATTTAAATAAATGGATTATTTTTTGAGCTATTTGGGGTATATTTTATATGGTAATTATCCATTATTTTGTGCAGTTGTAATTAGGTCCACCAGAGATGAAAAACCTCTCCATTATACCTTACAAATCCAATCTTTTTCGTTGCTCAAGACTGCACTTGTTAGATCCGATTGTGACAGATATGAATCCCGGATCTTCAATGCTGGCGGTTATAAATGGTAGAGTTTACACTTTATGAACTAATTATCCGTGATAGTGTGATAAATGGTGATATAGTTTCACTTTTGAAGGAATTTTACTCATAATAATTTTGTTTTTGTTTGTTATGGCAGGAAATTAGCAATGTATCCCACTGGAGATGTGAAAAGAAATGGATCTCATGATCATATATCCCTCTATTTGGTAAAGGCTGAGGATGACATTCCTACTTCAGAGGTCAATGTTGTGTTCACGTTTCTTGTTTATGATAGTCTCAAGGACAAATATTTGGCAGTCCAAGGTAATTCCCAAAGTTACTCAAAACATGGCTCTAATTTGATTTTGTTTTGTTTGATCATAAATAATATTATTGCAGATGGGATAGTAAGACGTTTCCATGCAATCAAGACAGAATGGGGTTTTGAAAAGTTGATTTCTCTCGACACTTTCAATGATTCTTCAAATGGGTTCTTAGTTGATGATTGCTGTGCATTTGGAGTGGACGTCGTTGTTATGAAATGTGATGGAAAGGGGGAGGCCCTTTCCTTGATCAAGGAACCAATAAATTACAACTAGATGAAAATATGTATGTATCTGATCCTTTTACAGTGGAGGGCTACCGTTGGTACGAAAAATAATTTAATTTGATTATGCGCCATAATTACTTTTTGGAAATATGTGTTTGCACTTACATTTTTATCCATGTTTCAGGAAGTTATGGTTGTATCCTAAAGGATGCTCCAACGCAGAGACTGGCTTTTTGTCCTTGTACTTGATATTAGATAGTTCCAAAGAGATTCTCCAAGGTTCTAAAGTGTACGTTGAATATGAATTGGCCTTATTGAGTCAACTTGGAGCTGAACCAGAGAAAGAAACATGTAGTTTACTACTTTTGTTTTGACCACAATTTGCAAAGCATTCCCTAAAATTATGTTTTTTTGCTTTGGATTGGTAGTAGTTGTAGAATAGTGAAAAGTGTGGTTTTAGTAACTAGTTAAAATACTTTTCAAAATTTTCCTTGTATTTACATAGTCTGAAGTGAATATTGAAAATTCTAAAAACACTTTCAAAATGCATTATGGAAAAAAGTGTGGCTTAAAAACATAATGCTCAAGAGGTTTTTTTTTTTTTTTTCGCGCAGATAATTATTGGTTTGCTGGTGGTGGTCCGAATTTCATTTCATTGAGTGAACTCAAGAAACCATTGAAGGGGTATCTTCACAATGATACTCTGAAGGTTGAAGTGAAAATTAATGTTATCTCTACCTCGAAAAGTTTTAACAGTAGTAGGGAAAATGCTGCTGCCTAGATCATAAGTGTGTTTTCTTACATTTTCTACATAACTATATATTGATGTCTTAGTCCGTTTGAAGTCAAAGTACAGCCTTTAGCCTCCAGCTTTGCCTATATGTGTTACCTTTTTATTTATTTGAATACAGTTAATTGCAGTCTTAAATTTATAATAAAATGTACCATGTTAATTAGTTGAGAGAGATTTTGGATGCATGAATACTTGATATCTATTCCATACTCAATGACTTTTATCTATTGATAATTTCTTTGTTGAGACTCTATCGGTTTCGCTCACCAAACAAAGATATATTCTCTGGAGCAATGCTGTGAGCTCGATCCTTTTGGCATATTTGGTTGGAGAGAAATTACCGTACTTTCTCAGGCACATCGAAGTCTCCGACCAACCTTTGGGAAGATATAATAATTTCATCTTCTCTTTGGTCCTCTACATCCCTTATTTTTTGTAACTATGATGCCACCACCATTTCTCTAAATTGGGGTGCTTTCATTTAGACCTCTATTGTGTATGTTTCTCACCTAATGAGGTGGTTTTTCTTAAAAAAAAATCTTGCTATCTAGCTTTTTTCGTGGGGAGTTGGGATTTTACACTTGGCATTAGCTTTTTTCATGGTCTAGGTCTACTTATTTATATTAAAGGCTAATAGTAATTATGGAATAATTTTAACCCCCTACTTAAAATACTCTTAAACGTTGGGACTTTTTTTTTTAATAATGTTTAAATATACACTTCCTTTATGTGGTACTTTAACACATTCAATATTTCTACTGCCCCTGCCCTCCAAGATCGGATTAAACATTTTGTCTTGGAAGTTTATTCATCTCACCCTACCAGTAGCAGATTCATCTTATTGCAAAATGTTGTTGGCTCCATCCATTGGTCTGTCTAGTTCAAGAGGAACAAACGTATGCATAGTATGACTAGTTTGCTGCTATGTGTATAGTACGACCAATTTTGTATACAAAATTATTGATGACTTAATTGTGTAGGACTTGATTTCATTGAGATTAGTGAGCTTCGGGGGATTTGTGCATTGCTTTTTGTTATTTTATTTATTTATTTTCTTCTGAGACTTGCTTTTCGTTAAAATTAGTGGGCAATAGCATGGGATGAAATTTAACTAAATTTTTAGGATGCAATAGGATGAAATTCTAAGTTTATGGTATAAATTAATACACTCTCCCAAGCTTTGAGGTAGAAATTCATTTTTTTTTCTCGCCTGTTTTCAATATAACCAATTTTTTGCATTCCCCTTTCCAAAATCTCGGTATAAAAGTGGGATTTTTCTTCCTTGTTCTCCTTGTACCAACTTCCGAGGAAGAAAGAAAAAAAAAATAAAAGGAAAAAAGAAAGAAACTACTAGAGAAAAAAGAAGACAATGGGGACAAAGAGGAAACAGGCAGATTTAGGAGACGAAAGGAACAACATCTCCCCCTCTCCAATGTTCAACGAAGATTCTGCTTGTGGTATAACATTAAAAGTTCCAATTTAAGCATTAAAAGTTAAAATATCAACATCTGCTCCATCTTTTGCAGTTGTAAGGTCCACCAGAGACCAAAAACCTCTCCATTATACCTTAAAGATTCAATCTTTTTCGCTGCTGAAGACCGCATTTGCCATACCCAAACCCCACGAGCGATATGAATCCCAGATCTTATGGATCGGATCATATTTCCCTCTATTTGGTGTCAGCTGATGATGCCATTTTATCTACTAATTCCGAGGTCAATGTTGTGTTTACCTTTCTTGTTTATGATTATCTCAGAGACAAGTATTTGGCTGTCCAAGGTAACCAAAATTACACAAAACATGGTTTTAATTTAGTTTTGCTTGCTTTCTTTGAGGTTTTTATTTTCGTGGTTTGTGCAGATGGGAAAATAAGGCGGTTTCATGCTCCAAAGACAGAGTGGGGATTTGAAAAGTTGATTTCTCTCGACAATTTCAGTAATCCTTCAAATGGGTTCTTGGTTGATGATTGTTGTGCCTTTGGAGTTGACATTATTGTTATGAAATGTGATGGGAAGGGGGAGGTTATTTCCTTGATCAACCAACCAAAAAACAACACATATACCTGGAAAATCGAAAACTTTTCAAAACAAGATCAAACTTTTATTGAATCCAATCCTTTTATTGTAGAGGGCTACCATTGGTATGAAAGCTTTACTTTTGATTACGTGTTCTGCAATTATGTATTTGCACAAAGTTATACGTACATTTTACCTAATTAATTTATCATTTATCTTTCAGGAGGATGGCTGTATCCTAAAGGATGCCCAAAGGCGACGACTGACTTTTTGTCATTGTACTTGGGGTTAGATAGTTTAAAAGATCTTCCCAAAGGTTCCCAAGTGTACATTGAATGGGAGATGAGCGTATTGAGTCAATTTGGAGTTGGGCACAACAAAAAAACTGCACGTAATTGAACAATTTTTTCAATCATAATTGTTGTCTCTCTGGTTTTGAAAATCTTTTGACATGCGGTCTCGCTATTTTTTGTTTGCATTCAAAGGTCTTGTGTCTACGTTATTGAGTCACGACCTTTTATGTGCAGATAACCGTTGGCTTAGTAGTGGAGGAGAGTACGAAGACAGTTGGGGCGTTCCACGTTTCATGTCATTGAGCGATCTCATGGAACCGACAAAAGGCTTTATTTATAATGATACTTTGATTGTTGAAGCGAAGATCAATGTTGTCTCTACCTTGAAAGAGTTTTGAGTACAGAAGGGAAATGCTGCTGCTGTTTGAGATCATAATTCTGTCAATATTTCATAGGAGCAGATTTTAATTTGTACAGCTATTCTGATGTACTCTTTGAGATGCCAGCCTTATGAAGATGTGTGATTTTGTGTAATTGCCCTTTCGGTGGGATCGTAGTGGTGCTTTTTTGCAGGAATGTGATGGGGGTTTGGACTATTTCTATGCTGGGGAGGTCCTTTTGTTTTCCTTCGTTGTAGGATAAGGCCCGGATTTTGTACCATGTTGGTTTCTTTGAGTCTTGTAAGATTGTTGGTTAAAAAGGAATAATAGAATTTTTAGGAATGTGGATATTTTGGGAGGAGGTGTGGTCTTCGGCACTACTAGAGCATTGATCCATTAGGTCTTGTTATTTTTTATTTGAGCCCTGTTTTGCATAGTGAGTTGTGGGACTACTCCTGTCGTAGGCTGTTTTGGGCCAGGTTTTTTTTAAGCCCTCGACTTGTTCTTTTGTTTTCTTTCATTCTTTTCGCAATGAAACCTTCCAAAAATAAAGTAATTTGAAAGTAGTTGGGATGATGGATCATGTGTTTTTTTGGAGTAGAAGTGTTTGTTCTAAAGTACGAAGGGAAAATGAAAAAGGAATATACTTCTCACTATAAAACAATTTGACAAATTTATGAGCCAAACTTAGTCATTTAATCCAATTATTATTAACTTACCATCAATTTTCATTGCCTTCGTAATTTATAATTTTAGGTTATAATCTCATTTTATTCCTTGACCTTAGAATGTCGTATTCTATTTTAGTCTCTAAACTTTCAAAATTGTTACTTTAGTTTCTAATTAAACTTTTTCTAGTACAAGCGGGGCTGAGGATTCGAATTCTCAAATTTATGATTGGATATTCGATACACGGCTTTAACCCACTGAACTGGTTGACTTTTTAGTTTCTAAACTTTAACAAAATAACCATTTTGGTTCTTATGGTCATTAATTCTTTATAGATTATTTATCGTGCCACTTTTAAAATCACTTTTTAAAAAAAATTGGTGTTTTTTTACCATATAAATAAATATCGATTTATGGATTCCAATTCGATATTAAACAATATATAAATAAATGTTTAAAATCTATTACCATTTACATATTTTTTGTTATACAATATTTTAAACCAGTGATCAGAATAACTCGAACTAACAATTCAACCCAAATATTTGGTTGGATTGAGATTGAATTTATTATTTAATAAGGGTTGTTTAAGTTGAGTAAATTTACAACCCGAACTATTAAACTGGGTCTAAAATCAAAGTACCTCAACCCACAGTTAGCTAGGGTTCGACGTACTAAAGATACACAGTTATATATATATATATATATGCCGAAGTAAACCTAGCTAGGATTAGCTGACAGAGAGAGATCTAATAGAGCAAGTTTGCAAGTATAACAGCGCACGATCTCCATGGTTTCATGTTTCAAAATGCAGTGAGATATTCTACACTAAGACAATTTGGAAGATTTGGGAAGGCAGCAATACCCTCTTTTGGTTTATATCAAGTACTTCCTCGTTTTTTTGCTCTCTCTAATTGCAGGTTTTGGAGCCAATCTGATAACTGTTGGTATTTTTCGCCCCGAAGACCCCTCGTGGAAAGAGAACAAATTGCGTGGAACTCGGCCATCTCCTCCACCTTTCCGAAGCTCACCCATCCATGGCCATGACTGCATCCTATGGAATGGTACAAAGGATGATATTTTCACTGTCAAATCAGTGAAGGTTTTGCTTTCCCACCATAGTGCAAACACACTGATTGTTTCAGCAGCCAAAATGTGGGCAAACCTTGCCCCTAAAAAATGTAAGTTTTTTTTATGTTGTGTGCGGCGTTAATACACATGACAGATTCCAAGTTAGACTTCCTACTACGTGTTTAAACTCAACTTGATGCACTATCTGCAATCAAAGTAACGACTCTATGGATCATCTATTTCCCCACTGTCCTTGCTCAATATCCCTTTGACAGCCTTTTTCCAAGATTTTCAAAATATCCATCAGCCTTCCTGGGTGTCGATGTCTTCGCTCGGGAATGCATAAATACACCTCTCTCAAACAGTATAAATATGCTTTAGTGCAATAGGTTCTGCTCTATCCTTTGGTTTATCTGGCTTGAGAGAAATAACCGTGATAAATATAAATCTACAGACAATCTGTGAGATAATAATATTGAGACGGTTTCTTCCTTTTGGTCCACCAAATCGACCTTCTTTTGTAATTATATGATATCTCCATCATCTCATCAAAGTGGAGCTCTTTTATTTAGCCTTTATATTTCTCACCTACCTTCCGATGTTGGCCGGCGGCGGTGCTACTATTTTTGGGAAAGATACCATTTTCTATTTTTAAACAAAATAAGTACAATAACAATAATGTTGAGCTTAGAGTGTTGCTAAACTTTTCTTATATTGGGACTGACCTTATATATGCTATTGTATTTCGGTTTGGTTATGTAAATTCAAATCCTAATATTTTCCATTTTCTCAAAATTTGAATGTTTGGTATGCAAGAATTATTTTCTTGTTTTACTGCTTTCAAATGAAACTTTAAAATGCAGAATTACATTAAAATAGATAAACAAATTTGATAAATATATTATTTCATATTATAAATTTTTTTTTGTTAAAATTCAAAACTGTGAAATCTAATATATTATAAATTATATAATATTTGTAAAATAATAATTCTACAAAATTTATAACATAAATTATATAATATAACTATTATATGTTTTTCATTAAATTATTTTCAAATCAGATCACCAACCAAGCTCATCCTAAGTAATCGAATCAATCCCGTCGAGGTTCAGGTTTGATTATCACTCTATCAGCTGCCATGCCACTGCCAGTTACAACACACTCTCTCTACTTGCATATATATTCAAGAAACTCATATCTAAAAGTATAATAAGGCTCTCCATTTACCTAAAAGAATAAAAGTGAGAAAGAATTGAAAAGAAAATAAAAAAATAAAAAAAAAGAGAGAGTTCGGAATCCAAATGATCAGAAATCATGTTGATTACTTATAAAACTATTTGGAATCAGAAGACAATAAAAATATAACAAATATACCTCTTTCTTATTTATAATTTATTTTATTTTATTGATGGTAATTTTTTTTATTATAGCGAATTATTTAATATTAACAAGTATTAAATAATTAAAATAAATTACAAAACTTGAATAATTTTTTTTATTATAACAACCATAATTTAATATAAAATATTACTAAGTTTTATTGTTGTAATATTTAATAATAATGAATTCTATTTTAAATAATTAATAATAATAATTAAAAATTAAATAGAAATTTGTAATGTTTTATATCAAATCAACTAAAACAATTAATTAAAAAATTGTGGATCTCCTTAATCCAAAAGAAAAGAAGGTTAAAAGTTGTAAAGTATTCATTATAAGGATGTAGAGCCCACAAGATAAAGGATGAGATTAGAAGTTTCAAGAGAGTCCCACCAATTCATTTCATTCCTATAATTTAGTTAAACACGACGATGATATAAAAATTTTAATTCTCATTTCCTTGATATAAATAGGGCTTTAATACAATATAAACCATAGACGGGTAAAAAAATAAATTATAGTAGCAAGCATTAGGTGAAAGATGTGGCATATGATCATAAAGATGAAGTTAATACATCGCAGGCAAAACAAGTATAGAAGTGCTTTAGAAAAGAAAAAAAAAAGTATAGAAGTGAAGTTTTGGTTGGATATTTGGAGTTGTTAAATCACAAAATAAGAAATGAAGCAATGCGACGGCGTGGGATTTGAAGGGATGGCCGGATGGAATCCTTATTTGGAAACTGCACACGCATTCCACCCATCTGCACCTTGCTTGGTTGGATGAATTATTACTCTGGCTTAAAGTTGTAAATACACATCGAAATTGTTGAGAACCATGCAGTGACAGCTTATCAAAATTATAGTGAAGACAAAAGGATGGAAGAAGTGGCCGGCTGAAATAGTATAATATTTCTTATGAGTTTGATTTACTAAATTAAGATTAAACTATTAACACGTCCAAAAACAGGGATATATATTAACTAATACCAAAATGTGATAATGAAGTGATACATGTTGCTTGGTTGGACGAATTACTATTGTAATGTAAAGTTGGAAATGCACAAAAGAAATTGTTGACAGCTAACAGGTTGTCGCGGCATAAAATTGTTGAGAGCCAAGCAATCACAACTTGTCACGAACTATAGTAAAAGACAAAAGAGGGAAGATGTGAGCTAAAATAGTAGAATATTTTTATGAGTTTGATTTACAAAATTAAGATTAACTTAATAATTAACATGTCAAATAAAGAAAAGAGGAGGCTAGGTCGTAATTGGTTAATAAATATATATTATTTATTATATAAGAAAATGTGATTGATGTGGTGATTCATTGCTTGGTTGGATGAATTGTTATCATAATGTAAAGTTCGCCAATACACATAGAAGTTGTTGATGAGAGCCATGCAGTGACCTCTTGTTGGGACCAAGGTGAAAATATTAAACAGAAGGGGGAGGAGTTTGCTAAAATAATAGAATCTTTCTTATGAATTTGAATTATTATGTTAATTATGTAAAGTCTCGAAATAAACATGGAAGTTTTTTGGAAAGGACACATGAAATACGCATGGAAGTTGTTGAGCCACTTGTCACGATTATGGTGAAAGACAAAAAGAAGAGTGACGTTGGCTAATATTTATTATATAAGAAAATGTGATGATGTGGTCACTCATTGTTTGGTTGAACGAATTATTATTGTAATGTAAAGGTTTGACATACACATAGAAGTTGTTGAGAGTTAGGCAAATAGCAACTTGGTTCGGACCATGGTGAAGGACCAAAAGAGGAGTGATGCAATTGCGGGCTAATCCTTTCCAATTCAATTTCCATTTCCACCACACCATCAATGGCGGATCATGACACTTCTTCGCTTCTGTTGTCGCCAGCCATAGCCTCAAGCTCCACTGATGAGCTCCATGGACCTTCCCTAGACTCCATGTTTGAACGCTGTGTACGAGATTTGGGATTGGCCGCCCAACTCCTTCAAGCCCTTGTGGTCTGCCTTGCATGGTTTTTCGACGCCCAACAAACTTTCATTGCTGTCTTCACTGACGCCAATCCCAAATGGCACTGTACTACTGGATCAGTTGAGGCTTCCAATTCAAACTCTAGTTGCGATATTTGCCTGTCACCCAAGGACTCATGGGCATGGGATTCCCCCGCCGGCTCACACTCCTCCATTGTGTCTGAATGGGGCTTGTACTGCGCCCCTTCCTTCTTCTCCGGCCTCCCTTCATCCTCATTCTTCCTCGGCTGCATCGTCGGCGGCTTCGCCCTCGCCACTCTCGCCGACTCCTCTCTAGGCCGCAAGAACACCCTCCTCCTTTCCTGTCTCATCATGTCCTCTTCCTCCTTCCTCACCGCCTTCTCCTCCAACATCTGGATCTACTCCACCTTTAGGTTCTGATATATCATGATTTAGGATATTGATATGATTTAGGTTTACTATTATATTTGATTTAGGTTTTATATTGCTTTTATGATTATGAATTTTCTTATTTATACATGGGTAGGTTTTTATACAAAGATTAACGAATTCAATTCAATATGAAATTATATTTTGTAATTTGAAAATACTCGTTCATTGACAACTCATTCCTTGCTATTTGACAACTCTTTCTTTTAAATTGTTTTTTCTTTTTACATATTTCTCTCTTTTAGTCGTCAGTCGTCAGATATTGAATGATGGTAAGGAAAAAGTTGCTCCTTATTAGCAATAAGCCAATATTTTCCTTTTTAATTCTCTCTACTTTCTCTCCTTCCTGAAATTTCAATCTAATCAGGTTCCTCTCTGGGTTCGGTCGCGCCAACGTCGGCACATGCGCTCTCGTCCTCTCCACGGAGCTTGTGGGCAAGCGCTGGCGAGGGCAAGTCGGAGTCACCGGATTCTTCGCCTTCACCTTCGGGTTTCTATCCTTACCTCTTCTAGCCTACGCCCTGGAGGGTTGTTCTTGGAGGAGCCTCTACATATGGACCTCCGTCCCGGTACTCCTCTATTGCTTGCTGCTTCAGTTTTCAGTCCGTGAGTCCCCCAGATGGTTGCTGGTGCAAGGACACAAAGAGGAAGCCGCCGTGGAGAGCTTCATGTCGGCCATGAAGATGTTGTTTGAAAAGAGATGGTGCATCCAGAGGATGGTTGCGGTGATGAGCATCGGTTTGGGGACGGGAATGTCGTACTACGGGATGCCGTTGGGGCTGGGGAACTTGGGGACGAATCTGTACGTAAGCGCGGCGCTGAACGCTTTGTCGGAGCTGCCGGCGGCGCTGTTCACGTTGTTGCTGATAGGGAGGTTGAATAGGAGGGGCGCCCTTGTGGGGTTCGCCATGGTGAGCGGAATTTGCAGCGTGTTGTCGGTGATGAAGCTGAAGGTGAAGCTGAGTTTGGAGTTGGTTTCTTTCTTCTGCGCGTGTACGGTGGTGAACGTGCTGCTGATGTTCACGATTGAGCTTTTTCCGACGTGCGTGAGGAACTCGGCGATGTCGTTGGTGAGGCAGGCGCTGGTGATTGGGGGAGTGGTGGGTTCGTTTCTGGCGGTGGCTGGGAGGAATATGGAGTTTTTGTCTTATGGAGTGTTTGGGATTGTCATTGCTGCTTGTGGTCTTTTTGCTGCATGTTTGCCGGAAACTAATGGAAGGTCAATTTGTGACACCATGGATGAGGAGGAGAGGAGACACCATCAATCACCTCCCCAATGTTAACATCTGCTCTTCCATTTGTACTTGCAATTGCCAGAATTGGCATATGTATGTGATCACGACGGAATTCCAATCTCCACCCTACTTGTTGTACTAAAAAAATTGTTGGTATTTTCCTATTTTGTATCCCATTCAAATCTATTTAAACACTTCTCAATTTTGGATGCATATAAACAAGACCAGTGTTGGTGGTTGCCTTCTTTAAAATATCATGAACAGTTCCTGTAGGTTGAGCGCCTTTTTCAAGGAAATATAGAATAGCAGGAACATTTAAATAGGTTTGATTCTTTATCGGATCATAAAAACCCACTTTACGAAGATCCCTTCCTTCTCTTCGGGATCGAACATCAATTGCAATGATTGGATAAACGGCTAACTTGACGCAACTCAAGGTTTATCAAATGAAAAATGAATCTTCACGAATATTTATCAACAATTTAAATGTACACATATATGTGCCTTACCATCTTCTAATTTTAGATGGAGTTTTTCTACAATTTGTTGTTTATAGTCATTTTTGTAAATGATTGTAATTTGAAGAAGTTTTGGGATATTGGATTAAAGTTGTTAAATTTTTTTTCCCCTTAACTTTTAGCTTAGATGATCCAGTATCAATATATACTGCATCAAGTTGAGAATGAAGGCAGAGGAAGAATAGAGAAAAAGAAGGAAGTGAGAAGTTGCAGGGAGAGAGAAAAAATGTGAAAAGTCGTCCAACCAATTAAAAAAGAATTCAAAGTTCGTAATAATATTTGTCAAAATTTAACCTTTAAAGAATAATTGGTTTTATTTATTTATTATTTTACATTTTTCCTTTTCTAGATTTGTATAAGAGGTGCTATATTTCACTGGGACTCGATCTGTTTGTTTTTTTTAGTACTACATGTTAGGGAGGGGATTCGAACTCACAACCTCTTCATTGGAGTTTTATGTCAATTATCGCTGAGTTATGCTCGCTTTGACCTGTGTCCCTGTTGTGTTGTTGTGGCAATGGGAACAGAGAGGAAACAAATAGATATTCATACAATGGGAGACGAAAGGAAGAATGTCATCGGTTTAACATCTCTTCACTTGAACTCTTAATTTGAGCATTCAAAATCCATATTACAAACTCTTCCAAACTTCTTCTACTGCTTTATTAACAACTACGTCAACTTAAGGCTCGTTTGGTAAAGTTCTCTTGTTTCTCGTTTCCAATTTTCATAAGAAATCTAAGCATTTTGAAACTAACTTTGTTTCTTGTTATAGGCCTCTTTTTTTGTGTATGTTTCTGATCACATACATCAATGAAGTCTCTTTTTCCCAAAAAAAAAAACTTTGTTTCTTGTTTCTCCTTATTTGGGAACATTCTTTAGAAATTTTGAAAACAAACAAAACAAATTTCYTCTTTCTTGTTCTCATTTCCACTATGTTTCAAAATATAATTAAAAATATTATTTTATCATACTTGAATTCAATGGATGTTGGAGCCATGCAATTCATTTTTCTTCATTAAAAATCAACAAACGAGAACAAGAAACATGAACGTTACTAAACGAGTCCTAATTATTCACAATAGATTCCTGGGCTTAATTTTTTTTTTTCAAAAAGCATCCCCACTCTCATCTTTGGATCTCGATTGTATTTTGTTATCACGTGACATTTTTTTAAACTAAACAGATATGATTTCAAATTACTGCTTTTATAATAATCACAAAATTTGAAGTGTTAGAAGTTTGAAAACCAAAGTGAAAGACGATAAAAGTTTAAGAAATATAAAACGATATTTCGACCCCTATATACTTTTATTTCTAAGGTTGTCAAATACGAAAAAATGAGTCAGGGTATGTTTGGTTGATGTCTGAAAACATAATTCTAAAAAATAGATAAAAACACAAGAATTGTATCACATATTTTCATATTTGTGTTTGGTAACAGATTTAACATTGAATCTCAATTTAGAAAAATGTTCAAACTTGTTTTGTAATATAGTTATAAACCATTCTCATGTCCCGACTAAATATTTAGTTCAATCTAAAATATTATTAGTTAACATAAACGTTATACAATCTGTACCATTATTATTTTACAATATCATATAATTTATAATGTATTAAATTTTACATGTTCTAATCTTAACGAGAACGAGATTAGGTTTATACAAGAAATAATATATTTAACAAGTTTTTGTCTTTTCAAATATAATTATGCATTTTAAAATTTTACACAGATTAAAAATCTAAAAACAATTAAGGTTGTTTTATGAAATTACAATCACAGCATTCAAAAACAGTTTTCAAAAACAAATTTACGAAACCTATATTCATTAAATCCATTTATTCAATAAATCTAAAAAAAAAAAGAGAATCTTTGATTGTCAACGAAATAACAACCCCGGTTATTTTCTTCCAAACTCCATCCCTTAAAATAGTAGTAATAAAATGTATCTATATTTAAAAAACACGTACACGTGAAAATGGCATAATATACCAACTAAATGTTTTCACCAAAAAGAAGGGTGATAAGATACAAACATAAACTCATATTTTGTATCTTTATTCTGCATTTTATTAATTTACTTAAATTTAAATATTTGAATTTAATATTTTGTGATATTGAAAAATAATAATTTAAAAACACAAATTTAGATGATTGTTCTTATAGAAGAATTTCTGATAAAGATCACTCTAGGATAATTAACCTACAAAAACGAATTTAAGTTAATAAGTTTTACGTACCCCTCATTTGTCCCCGTGGTATTTATAAGAGATGAGAAAGTAACGGTTGGGAATTATGGCTCCCCATTTGAATAAAACGGTTCCAGTTCCGTACCGTAAAAATAGGAAACTGCTTAGTGGGAGAATGGTTGGTCTGCCACGTCGGTAGCAGTGAAACCGTTTGGCTTTGCACCAGTTCGGCTATGATCCGAACTGGTTCCCTTTGCCTTCACTGGATTTTAAGTAGCGAGGTATCTTAAGATTAACAATGATAATTCAGACTTCAAATTAGAGAGACCAACTTATATATTGACTATTTTGTAAATAAGCTAATATAATCAAATTAAAAAATATTTCATAAATTCCCTTGGATAAACTCTTTTATAAATAATTCTATTTCAAATAAGATTTCCCAACTAATTAGATATTTTTTATCAGAGAACGGCCTCTCTATAAACTAATCACTATTCTATCAGAAAATCCAACGTCTTCACATCTCAGCCATCAAGAACTCTTCTTTTTAAATTGAGGCTTCTTCTTCTACCATAGTGGCTATGGTTTATTTTGATTCAACTCCAATTGGTAAGCTTGGGAGATTCGTGATAGGTAGAAATTTATTAATCTTTTCAAGTCAAGAATAATTCTTTGCTTCTTATTCTTGCATTTCTCTGTGAATGATCGATAAAATTGAATTGTAACAAGTAGTTGGTGTAATTGTTTACATAACTGGGAAAATAGAAACAAAAAACAAAACTAATAAAGTTGTAGCTATATCTCAATTAATTGATTTCGGTTTAGTCACTCTTTTGTTGTGCCCAACAAATATAATGATAAATTTGATTTTTCGGATGCTTGGTTTGAGTTAATTACAGAAGGGAATTAAAACTTTTCCCTAAGTTGTTGAATCAGGAAGTTAATTATTTTAGGTTTCATCGTTTAAATTTCAAATTCAAGTATTCAAAACGGAAGAGGGAATGGAGAAGAATAATGTCATCTCCTCCTCGCAAGATTCTGCATGCGGTAAAAACTCCCTCTCGTACTCTCAAGTTCATATATTTAATAATAATAATAATTTATGTATTGTAATTTGCAGAGTTACGTTTGAATAATGCGATGGTTAATTTAATTTATTGTGTGCAGTTGTAATTAGGTCCAGCAGAGATGAATCAAAATAATTCATATGTTTATTATAAATATAAAAAATAAAAACAAATAAAAAACTTTTTTTTAGTACACAATTAAACAAACTTAAACCATAATCTAACTTTCCCTTCCCAACTATCATCTTTGTCCATTTATTTTCTTTCTCATTCTCATGCCGCGACTTTCTTATTCTCCAAGAAAACACAATACTTCAACTAAAATAAAAGTGTAAAAAGAAAAAACAAACCAAAGATAGTTTTAAAAAACTAAAAAGATATTTTAAATGTATCAAGCTATCAATCTCTTTACAAATTCTATTTAGAACGAATTTTTTTAATCAAATTAGTCTTGTAAAAATTGAAATAAAAAGAAATAAAACCGACTAAGACATACCAGCAAAATAGAAAATTAAGTTGTATTTTGATTGGATGGTGACTGAAAAATATGCCAGTAGAAGTGGAGTGATGAGATTAAATTTAAAAAATGATTTTAAACTAATTGTGATTTGTAAAGTTGTGTTTGGAAGTGATGCGGATTGATTTTGAAAAATAAAGAGATTTACTTGTAATTGATTTTTCAAAATTAGATATATTTGTACTTAGGAGTGATATTTTAAAAATCCATTTAAAACAATTTTAAATTATCCTAAGATCAATTTTTTAACTTCACATGATCTATGAAAAGTATAATATGATAAAATCATATCGACATCACGATCTCTAACACACCCTAAATCCAGGGTTCGAACAATCTTTATAATAACTATTTTTATTTATTTTGCATTTAACCGTTTTAAAAACCTGCATAATAGATTTGAGAGGAGGAGGAGGATTGCGATTTATCATATCTTGCTTCCCCTGTATTCAAATTTGGGAAGAACGCAATGGGAACAAAGAGGAAACAAACAGATATTAATGGAGACGAAAGGACGAACCAACATTCTGCTTCCGGTTTGAACATCTCTCTCTCTCTTGAAGTTTCAATTTCATCATTCAAATTCCATATCAGTAAACTCTTCCAAACTTGTTCTACTACTCTATTAACAACTACGTCAAGTTATTCATAATGGGTTACTAGGCTTGTTTTAATTTGAATGCTCATTTAATTTTTCAATGTTCTGTGCAGTTATAAGGTCCACCCGAGATGAAAAACCAGTCCATTATACCCTAAAAATCCAATCTTTTTCGTTGCTGAAGGATGTACTTGCTAGTTCCAAGCGTGAAATATACGAATCCCAGAACTTCGATGCCGGCGGTTATAAATGGTGAATTGTATAAAAGAATTCCATTATTAGATTTTTACATTGCAAATCCAAGTAATATTGGTTTCAGTTTGTAACTGTTTTTGTTTCTGGGACTATTTTGTTTGTTGTTGTAGGAAATTAGCACTTGTGAGCTCAATGTTGTGTTTACGTTTCTTGTTTATGACAGTATCAGAGACAAATATTTGACAATCCAAGGTAACCAAAGCTGAAAACATTGAGGTTTCTTAAGTTTCCTTTTGAAGTTTTGTTTGATCATATTCATATTTGTATAATA